GGCCCGCACGGTCACAGGGCCCGCACGGTCACAGGGCCCGCACGGTCACAGGGCCCGCACGGTCACAGGGCCCGCACGGCCGAGCCGGGCCGGGCCGGGCCGAGCCGAGCTGAGCTGAGCTGAGCTGAGCTGAGCCGAGCCGAGCCGAGCCGAGCCGGGCCTGGCCGAGCCGAGCCGCTTTCCCCCCACCCAGCGCCATCCCGCCCCGCCCTCACGCTGCGGAGCTGCTGTTGCTGCTCAGCCGCTGCTGCCTCCATGCCGCGCTGCGCCGCACTTCCGGTAAGGACGCGCACGCGCCCCGCGGCACTTCCGCCCGGGGCGCCAAATCTGACGTCACCTCCGGTTCCGTCTCCCGGCGCCCCCCGCGCAGATCCTGACGCTGCTTCCGGCGCGTCCGGGCCGAAACAGATCGGGGCAGCGGAGCCTCCGGGTCGGGGGGCCCAGCGGGGCCGGGGCGGTGCAGGTGGGCGAGGCCGAGTCGGGAGGGCCGGGGTAAAGGCCGGGGCTGCGGGTGGCCGCGCCGGGTCCCGGGAGGCGCCGGTCTGGGAGCCCCGGGGCCGCCGAATGGAGCCGGCTCTGCCAGAGGCCGCGCTGTGAGAAACCCGGCCCTGCGGCTCCGGGCCCCGATCCGGTGCTGCCTGGTGTTGGCAGCCGTGGATGCTCGGGTCGCCGCCGGCCGCAGCCTCCTCCTTCTCCTGCTCCTCTTCCGCCTCCCCGGGGTCGTGCCTCGGTTGGGGTCCGAGCGGCGGCTGTGAGCCCCGGAAGGGGCCCGGAGCTTTTTTCGTGCTGGCCTCGGGCCGCGGGCTCAGCTCGAGGTAACGGCGCTCGGGGCCGGCCCAGAGCGTGCGCTGATGCTTGGAATCCAGTCTGACCGGTCCGGCCGCGGCCCTGCCTCGCACTGCGGACGTGGCTCCTGGCTCCGGCTCCGGGCCCCGCGCCAGGAACTGTAGGGTGCGCGGCCCTCCCTCGGCAGGACGAGGAGGCACGGAGCGGCCCGGCCCCGTGCACAGCCTCTGCATCCCTGCAGGCCCTGACAATGTCGGATGGGATCATGAGCAAAGCTGCCACCATGGAGATCCCCATCAGCAGCAACGGGGATGCAGGCAGCCTGCCTGAGGACGATGGCCTGGAGCAGGTGTGGGGCTGGGCTGGGACTCGCATCATTGCCAGGGAGCGGGTGCCTGTCCCTATGCCTCAACTCTCTGCTCTGCTCCCCCAGGACCTGCAGCAAGTGATGGTATCAGGGCCCAACCTCAACGAAACCAGCATCGTGTCTGGCGGCTACGGGGGCACCGCTGAGGGCATCATCCCCACCAGCGCCATCAAAGGTACAACAGCTTCCACGGGGACAAGGCTGTGAGAGGTGTGAGCCTGGGTGGAGGGCTTAGGGAAGGGCTCGGTGCTGGGAGTGAGGAGCAGAGCACAGCACAGGCCACCCTGCTGCACCCTTGGACAGGACCAGTCGCAGTGTTTCTGCTCCCAGCTGAGGCTGTCCTCAGTCACAGCCTCCTCACAGCCCCAGTGCACAGCACTGCTGCCACCCAGCTGCTGGTGTGGGGCTGTGACTTCCACCCAGCTGCACCCCTACCCTACACGTGCCCTAGGCTTACAGGCAGCTGTGGAGGTTTCTGGCTCTTGTGTAGATGCAGGGCTTCCGCTGAGGGAGCTGTTCTGCTTTCCTGAGGCCCTGGTTTGTGATGCATGGGCTCAGCTGTTGGGCATCCTTCTGGTCCTGGGGAGGAGCCCTGAAGATGCACAGCAGTGGCTGAGCTGTGGTGACTGTGCCCGAGAGACACCTTTCAGGCAGAGGGGGACAGGGCAGAGGGGTGCTGAGCCCCAGACTCTGCCTTAATGCCCCATTTTTGCTGTTGCTGCCAGCCTGGGAGCCTCGGGCACTTCTGAGCCTGGCTGTAAATGCTCCATGCTGCAGGGATGGTATCTACAGGCTTGTGGGGAGCTGCTGGTGCTTCACACCTGGAGCCACAGTGAGCTCAGCCAAAGCAGCTCTGCCCCATCTGTCACTCTCACCCTGTTCCCATTTCACACAAGTTTCTGTCCCAGCTCTTGGCCGGTTTGGCCCATCTGCTGCAAACAGCTGTTTTCACCACGGCCCTTCTGTGCTGTGCCAGGCTGAACAGGTGAATCGACACAGGCTGAGGGGAGATGGGCTTTTGCTGATAGCCTGCTGTGGCGGGGGGAACGTGGTGCAGTGGTTCCCTGTGTCTGTCAGCCCTGGCCTGGCCCAGCTCTCAGCCTGGTGGCATCTTGACGCCGGCCTGGGGACGGGGAGGAAGCGGGAGAGGAGCCTGGGCGCCCCTGCTGCGATGCTGTCTGTCCAGCTGCCATCTGTGCCTACTGATTTCACACCACTCTTTCGTCTGCTCCCCTGCTGCCATCCTTCCTGCACGCTCATCCTGTGACCCGGTTGTTCCTGCCCTCGTGCCTTTCACACCGCCCCACCTCTTCCCTCTCTGCTCACCTCCTGCCAGCCCCTCCATTTCCAGGCTGTCTTGTCCAACCTCACTCACCCCGAGGACCATCCATCTCCCCCAGTGCATCTGCCGCCAGCAGGATGGCCAGCCAGGCCGGTGCTTCAGCAGGTACTGCAGCCGCCCCGTGGTGCCACGCAGCCTTTCAGCCCTCCTGTCTCAGGCTCGGGCCTTTGGCCCCGGCTTAAGGCGCCCGATGTGTGCTGTGTTTCTCAGGGTCGGCTTCCGCCCCGCTGTGGTGGAGGGCAGCCGGATGTGTGCCTCCCCCGGCAGCTGTGGCCACTCTCGGCCCTTGTGCTGAGGTCACGCACGGAGCTTCCAAACCACGGAGCACCAGGCAATGAGGCTGAGCTGTGCCTGGCTGTGGGATGCACCGTGTGCCTGCCTGGCCTCTCCCCCAGCCGTACCGTGCTCAGGAGCACGAGGAGCACTGCCAGCACGGGAGCACCAAGGCCAGGTGTGCAGGGCCGCCCCTGCCAGCAGCTCAGCAAGCAGATGGGGGGGCAGCACCTGCCACGAAGGCAGCAGCCACTGCTGTCAGCACCGGGGCCTTGGTTATCAATGTCTAGGCAGGTTTTGGGGACCAGATTCTCCTGTGCAAGAGGTCGAGTCCTGCTTGCTGCAGGCAGATGACAAATCGCAGCACCAAGGGCTCCGTTGAGCCTGGTAGCAGTGCTGACTGGCGGGGGGGCGCCGCTCGCTCGCATCACGAGGGGCTGCCCAGGGTGGATTTGCAGCAGGCGCCCGCTTTGCTCGTGCTGTGTCAGGCCCTGGCCCTGGGAGCACCGGCCGTGAGGGCACTGCGATGCGGGGCGGGCGGCCCAGCCTGTGTGCAGGCCCCATGCTGAGTCTCGTCGGTGTGCTGTGTTCCAGGCTCTGGGCTTCATCAGCCTCACCCCGGCCCACCGGTGGGAGGAGAGGAGGTTGTCCGTGGGATCGCCGTGGAGAAGTTTGACATCGTCAAGAAGTGGGGCATCAACACGTACAAGGTGCGTCGCAGCCTGGCTGCTCAGTGGGGCGCAGAGCTGCGCGGGGGCTGAGGGAGCTGCGGCGCAGGGGGGGCGCATCTGGGTGCCAGTGCAGCCCTGGGGCTGGGCAGGGAGCGGAGCCTGACCGCCGCTCTGCCCGCAGTGCACCAAGCAGCTGCTCTCTGAGAGGTTCGGCCGGGGCTCCCGCACGGTGGACCTGGAGCTGGAGACGCAGATCGAGCTGCTGCGCGAAACCAAGCGCAAGTACGAGTGCGTGCTGCAGCTGGCGCGGGCTCTCACCAACCACTTCTACAGCCTGGTGCAGACGCAGCACGCCCTGGGGGATGCCTTTGCGGACCTCAGCCAGAAGTCTCCTGAGCTGCAGGTATCCCGGGGGGGCTGTGGCGCGTGCCTTGTGTGTACCGGGGCCGGGGAAGGAGAAACAAATTGACCCCGGGGTTTCTGCAGCACGGCCTGGGCAGCACCACGGGTCGGCACCCCTGGGCACGTGAGGGAAGGCGGGAGGAGGCTGAGGGCAGACACGCTTTGTGGCCGGTGTGGGGCTGGGGAGAGGTGGGGGGCTTTCGCCGCTGGCTCTTCCTGGCACGGCTGGGGCAAGGCAGTAGGCAATAGGAGGGCAGGGGCATCGCGGGCTGTGCTGCCCGGCTCCTCACCCACCTTCCTCCCCGCACCAGGAGGAGTTTGGTTACAATGCAGAAACACAGAAACTGCTTTGCAAGAATGGGGAAACGCTACTGGGAGCTGTTAACTTCTTCGTGTCCAGTATCAACACGCTGGTAAACAAGACCATGGAGGACACGCTCATGACAGTTAAGCAGTACGAGACGGCCAGGTAGGACAGCAGTGTGGCCTGCAGGCCTGGCTGCGGGTGCTGGGGGCGCCGCTCTGTCGCTTTTTGACTGCCGGGGTTCCTGCGCAGGCTGGAGTACGATGCGTACCGCACGGACCTGGAGGAGCTGAGCATGGGCCCCCGGGATGCCAGCACCCTGTGCCGGCTGGACGCAGCCCAGAGCCAGTTCCAGAGCCACAAGGACAAGTACGAAAAGCTGCGCGCCGACGTGGCCATCAAGCTCAAGTTCTTGGAGGAGAACAAGGTGGGGAAGGCCGCAGGGCACGGGACGGGGCTCTGCTGTGCGCGCGTGTCCCTGGGCCTGCCTTGGGGGCTGCACAGCCTTGCTGCTCAGTGCGTTTCCAGGGAGCTGTGAGGGCAAGGGCGGGTGACCACCTCCCAGCTGGCTGCTGCAGCTCTGAGCTGGGCAGACCCTGTCCCGGCCCGTTCCTGCCGTCCCGAGGTGCTGGGCAGTGGGGCTGGGTGGCTGCGTGCTGACTCCCGCTCTCCCCAGATCAAGGTGATGCACAAGCAGCTCCTGCTCTTTCACAACGCCATCTCTGCCTACTTCGCTGGGAACCAGCAGCAGTTGGAGCAGACTCTCAAGCAGTTCAACATCAAGCTGAAGACCCCTGGTGCTGAGAAGCCCTCCTGGCTGGAGGAGCAGTGAGCCCCCCAGCCTGCCCCACCTCGTGCCCCAGCCGGGGAAGCCATGGACCGTAACTGGGACCTGTGAGCGCAGGCGCAGGGCCAGCCCGCAGCCACGAGCGGTGAGCTGGGGATGCACCTCGGCCCTGCTGCAGCAGGGGGCACCAAGGGGGCAGGGACCTGGCTAGGGGCAGGTGGAGCTCTGAGCGGCCCGTTCTCCTGCCTGGGAGCTCCCCCGGCCCGGCAGAGTCCCATCCTGCCCAGCCCTGCTCTCCCTCCCAGCGCAGACCCCTCGGTGGGATGGTGGGTGCCTTCCCAGGACTCCGCAGGGCCAGACGC